TGCAGCGGGTACAGACTCCTGCCAGACAATATACATGAGCGGGCCCTAACATAATTTTGTTTTCTATGTGCGGACGCCTCTATAGTGAGGGATCGATAAAATCCCTATAGGAAAATGCTGTGTCCTTTGATTAATATTCGATAGACGATCTAACTGTCTTGATTTGTCATTATCATTCACTCAAATTGATTAGGCCGGCTTGGTGGACCCAATGTCTGGCACAATTAAACTAGCGTAATGGCTCGCTCTACCATCCCAGCACAAATCAAGTTTAGTTGTTGACACATCTTTATTTCTTTTTGGGTTAAATGCATGCAAGGTTACTTAACTTTGAATTAAGTTGCATCTAGATCACTCATCTTTAATTTAGTACAATTGGATTGTCTAACTTTTATTTTCTTGTAGACCTTGTCACTTATCTTCTATATGTATTTTGTACAAGCATATCACCTAACTTCAATTTGCTTGTAAATTTAATAATTTCATCCATTACAGTCAATTCAACAAACGTAGTACATTGAGAGCTTGTTTGAGCCCATTAAAAGACTAAAAATGCACTTTGTAATAGTAGATCGATTGAGAATGTGTCGTTAAAAAATAAGGAAAATATTTAAATTTGTATATAATATTATTTTATTGAAAAATATATGATGAAAAAAAGAGAGAAATATTTTTAAAATAATGGGAATCAAACAAGCGCTGTATAGTAGGTGCATAAAATTCCATTTTTATTTCATACTTGAAAGAAAAAAAAAAAAAAAAAAAAAAAGCCGTTTTTAAAATAATAAATGTTATTGTTGGTGTGAACATACAGTCACATCTATTAATTTCAACGTCCAAGTTAACAAATTAAGTTTATTAAATTGATGAAATAATAGGCAAAACGATCAATTTACAAGCAAATCAAAGTTGAATGGCTTCATTGCATGAAAGATGAGTAAATCGATTTACAAGCAAATCAAAATTGAATGGTCTAATTGCACTAAATTAAAAATTAAGGACTTGAGTTAAATGGCACCCACAATGCATTTAATGCTTTCTTTGGATTATACTACATGTACACTACAGTTTCCATAAGGGTTTTCATAATGTACAAGTGACGTAACGTTATTGGAGAGTTGAAAAAAAGTTTTTTCAACTCTCCAATCATGGAATTCTACATCTACATTATGGGCATCCTTATGGATACCATAATATACATGTAGAATTATTTGTTGTCTTTTCAAACAGCAAACAACACGGCACGTGGAGCGATAGTACATTTGCTACATAATGTTTTATAATTAAAAAAAAGGTTAAACCCCAACCTTAAGGATCCCCCACCGCCCCTACCCTAAAGCATCGTGAGGGAGGTAAATCGCAGATTATGCCTCCAAGGATATAGAGTGGAAGGCTGCTTGTACACTTGCACTTACCCAAAAGCCAAATCCATATTTCAGGATTCGAACTCTTGACCCAGCAGCCTCAAACAAAGCTAGATTTCTCCACCCTCCCCTTTTACCACTTGAGATGTGCCCTAGGGGCTACATAATGTTATATAATTGGTCCGTATTAGAGAATGTCCGAGAGACAAACTTTCTTTCTATTTTTGCTTTTTGTTTTATTTCTCTCGAGAAATATTTATAATAATTGATCAATCAATTTTAATGTGATTTGAATAGTTTAAAAATTAGAGGATTGAAATATGTGATTTACTAAATTCAATCATTGAACATAAAGATAGAAACCACTCTCTATTTCAAAAAGAAAAAAAATTGAAAGTCTCTTGAAGCTCATTTGAAGCATTGACTTTGCAAAATAAAGAGCATTTTGTATTTAAATAGTCACTTAAAAATACTCTTATATCTATTAAATAAGAAATTTTAGGTTCAAAGAATTTAAAATTTACTAGCTGAATTCTATTGACAACATTAAGCTCTTGTTTGGTAGGAATTAAAATCTAAATTTTAATTTAAGTCAAGTCGACAATTCATTTTAATCACACAATTCATAGGAATCATAACTTTTCAACTATATATTTCAACAACTAAAATTCTTATTCTAATCCCCACTAAACAAATAATAAATTTTAACTATATGTCAATACTAGTTATCAATATGTATTGAGAATTTGTTAACATAATGACTTGTTCCAATTCATTTTATTTTCTTTGATATTATTAAACTCAAAAAATTTTCTTATTTTTAACTACACATTTTCTATCAAAATACTATTTCAAATGCATTTTGGACTAAAAATTTGGCTCAAGCAAGCTCTTAGTCTTAAAATTATTTGTAAATAAATTGTAAAACCAAATTTATTTCACCCAAATTAAAATTGAAGAATAAAAGTTTGTTAGGGATATGAATGATAAAAGATGTCAAAATGTATTAGACTAATCTTAACTCGAAAAACCCAAGAAAACATAATTTTGACTTAACCACGGCTTGAGCTTTTTAGGTCAACTTGCCCTTATAGTTGGGTTAAAGCATGTGACATATACAGGTTGTTTTCATGAATTTGATATCATTATTGGTTGAATCATTGCTAGATTCCTCCGTTTCAATCTCTAATGCTCCCATCCTTTCTTAATTTATTGCCATTTGACTTAATCTTATAGATCTCAAGGATTTCTTAACCACTACAGAAAATTTCGCAGTTTACTTTGTCCAAATTTCTACAAACGATGTCAATTTGTTTACGATAGAAATTGGATCAACAAATCCTCCAACCAAGTTAGGACTTTCAACTCCAAATCTCTCTAATTTTGATGCTAAAACTGGAGTTAGAGATTAAATGACTATTTGAGAAGAAGATATTTGAATTAAATGCATTTCTCTTCAAAATAATGGAGCATTTATAAATTCCCCTCCAAGTTTTGGGGTAATTTGGTCATTTTAGAAGAAAATGCATATGGCAGCTTTCTATTGGCTATTAATAACTTATTCAGTTGCAAGCGCCATGCTTTATATACATCTTGACGGTCTATAGCCAACCTGAATAAAGGAATAGTTCACAATTATTTTATGATTTACCCTTGCAAATTTCTACATGCTTTGCTGATAATCTAGTAAGATTCACAAAGCGAATTTTTTAGGTTAACATATACCTCTATATTAAATAATAATTAATATTTATTGATTACAAGACACATTGAATATGGATATATTAAAAAATGAAGACAGTAATTACATTCTTAACAAGGAATGTGACCTAAATGTTAGGAAAAATAAAAAGGAAAAGTAAGCCCCTTTTTGAGCCCATTCTCTCACATTACATTACATTATTTGCAAATTTCAATGTGAAATGTGAGCCCCACCACCAGACAATTCAGACATCAATCTTATAGCACGTAAATTTGTGCAACACAAAATTACCACTTTGTCCTCCCAAATACTACCGGTGGTCGCAATTATGGACTTGAATTTTCCATTCAAGACAAACAACATCAAATGACAAATGTGGGGAGAGTTCTATCCTTTTGGCCCAAATGATCACTTCGAAAAATGGGAATTCTGCAGAGTGATAAATGAGTTTACAGAGGTGGCTCCCACTTGAGTCAAAAAAGTGGGTTGAAAATTAATTGAAAATGTAATTTAGCCCCTGTTTGATCCCCATTAAATTACATTCCATTATATTCTATTTTCCTTTTTCCTATTTTCAATCACACAATTTTCTATAAAATAATATTACACGTAAATCGAAAAAAATTTCTTCTTTTTCAACCACTCATTTTTTCAACAAAACACTATTCCTCCCATTTTCATTATCAAAAATGGGGGCCAAACAGGGGCTTAATGTGAGTTACTGAGGCTAAGAGGCTAAGTCTATATTTGTGGAATGTAGAAAGTGATGCAAACAAAGTTAAAGCTAGTTGTCAGAGTCGTAGGGTTTGGAATGATAACAGAATGAGACAGAGATGCAGAAAAAATATTCAGCTATTATTATTTAAATTCTTACACTTCAACTCATGACGACCCAAGAGTCATGCTGGACCAAGAGAGGGCTTATATGTACAATTTCAAAAACAAACTGCCAATTGGATTGGCACCTTCTAAGAGTATATTTAATCGTAGTAAAATAAATCTAAATTATGATTTAAATTTTTGAAGTGGTCGAAAACCTCTCAAATTTAGAAATATAAAGAAAATACAAATTATATTTTTCAATAGAAAATGTACATATTTTTTACATTAGTAGATTTATATATTTTTATGAGAGTAAAATTTGAATTTAAATCCATCAAAATGTAAATGAGGATGCAAATATATTTTAAAATATCAATTTACATATATGCTTTAGGCAAGTGAATTGTCCAAATGGTCACTAAACTTTATAAAAAGTTTTCAAGAGGTAACTGAATTTTAAAAATAATTGATCTAAATTATGATTTAAATTTTTGAAGTGGTCGAAAACCTCTCAAATTTAGAAATATAAAGAAAATACAAATTATATTTTTCAATAGAAAATGTACATATTTTTTACATTAGTAGATTTATATATTTTTATGATAGTAAAATTTGAATTTAAATCCATCAAAATGTAAATGAGGATGCAAATATATTTTAAAATATCAATTTACATATATGCTTTAGGCAAGTGAATTGTCCAAATGGTCACTAAACTTTATAAAAAGTTTTCAAGAGGTAACTGAATTTTAAAAATCATTTAAATGGTCATTGATCTTTGCAAAAGGTTTTTACAGGGTCACTGAACTTTAAAAATCACTTAAACGGCCACTAAATTTTGCAAAAAGTTTCTCACTGAATGTGACTCCTGAAAAATATTTTGTAAAGTTCAGTGACCATTTAGGTCATTTTTAAAGTTTATTTGATCTCGTAGAAATCTTTTACAAAGTTCAGTGATCATTTAAGTGATTTTTAAAGTTCAATAACTCCTTAAAATTTTTTTACAAAGTCCAATGACCATTTGGACAAATTAGGCGGCATAGAATATAGACTAAACTAGAAAGATTGACCCACGAGTCAACTACTAAACTAAAATTATTCTAAATAATAATTTTAAGTGACCTTACATGCACTGATGCAAGTGGGTTCACCGATTTCATTAATTCATTCACATCTCTTTTTCGTATTTGGCCATAGCTTGATTCGATTCAGAGTCGATTCTGGAGCATGACGACTCCTGGAAAGAAGGTGTTGCTGACCTCCAGTGGCGACAAAATTTCGCTCAACATTGCACGCCATTTAGCTCAGCGTGGTTGCCGGTAAATTCTTCTTGTAATTCTCGCTTTATATACATACAATTAAAAGGCATAATATTTGGTGTGATTATTAATGTTTATGTGTCTGTAATTTTAGGTTGGTATTGATGGGGAATGAGGGGCCATTGAGGAGTGAAACGGAGAAGATAAAGAGATCTCTGGACGGCTTCGTAACGGTGGAGGTTGTGGGTTTAGATATGGAAGGTGATAGAGAGGCGGTTTTTGATGATGCGGTGGGTAAAGCATGGAGGATTTTGGGGAATTTGGATGCTTTTGTTAACTGTTATTCCTATGAAGGTAAACGACGATTTTTGGGAATTTTGATGCTATTTATTTATTTATATTTTGTTACTGAATTGTTGAAAGAGGCAGCATCATCAAATATTATGGGTGTAATATTATATGTTTGTATCTTCATGAATAGGCATACAGTGGAGTCGTCAATTGTTATGGATTGAATTGTGGGTTCCCAATTTTCTGTTATAACGATATATGTAAATCTGGTTATGTAGTGCTCTGTAATTTCCTGTGGTTTCAATTTCTTCAGTTAGTTCCCTCATATTTGTTGTTGACCCCAAAAAATACGCCAACAGATGCCGGTCCCACCCGTACTTGCGTGGACGAATGTCAACACGCTAAGACATGTGGACGGTCTAAAACGAGCGGTTCAAAGGGGCGTGGGAGTAGCCCAACGACGCGGGACGTTGAAGTTCGAAATCCGACGGGTTGTTCGTAATCCGATTGTACAATAATTATCAACCGGTGCTCGTAAATGTATATGTAAAAGTGTATAAACTCGATTTGTGTATTGCAAGTAAAATGAGAGAGAGTTGAATAAATGTAGTCTTTAGTATTGATTTTTGCATTAGCCTTTGACATTACACAATGGAAGTATTTATAGTAATATATATGAAATGGGAGCCCTTGGATGAAGTGGAAATACTTCCACTTGAGGACCTCAGCTACATTCAACAGGTTCCATGCTTCGGGCCATGGGCCTCGGTAGTTGGATTTCAGCAGACTCGCGTACATCGGATCGAGGAGCCTCGGCAGATGGACCTCGGCTTGAAGCACTTCGGATATAACCCACCTCGGCAATGTGTGCTACCTCGACAGGAATGTCACGTGGATCAGGATGAGTGGACCATTGGCCCAGGTGGGTAGGACAGGTGTGACAACACGCAACAATAGTCCCCCAAGTCCAAGTATAATCATTAATGTAATGCGTAGACTTTAATGGAGTAAAAGTTGAAAGAATTTTTGAACCCCAAATAATAGTCTCCCAAGTCCAAGTGTAGATATTTATATCATGGTTGGAGTTTGAGAAGTGTTGCTGTGGGTGAGCGATGAAGTAGGCAAGGTGTTTGAACTCTGAAGATGAGTCGAACCTGCGAGGCTTTGATTGCTGAATGGCGAAGAGGAAGCCGAGGTGGCTGAGGAACCGAACCTGCAAGGTTTGATTGCTGAATGGCGAAGAGGAAGCCGAGGTGGCTGAGGAACCGAACCTGCGAGGCTTTGATTGCTGAATGGCGAAGAGGAAGCCGAGGTCCAATGGTAATGATTGTTCCTTGGCTGCTGTGCCAATGATTTGATGTTTTGTGCTTGTTTTCGAGGAAAAGTGGCTGAACCATTACGACTTCTAGGACGCTGCTGCCGTCGAATTAAAAATGCAATTATGAGGGCAGCTGGCACTTCTAGAAGCAGACGCGTTGGAGAGGTGCGTGGGAGGCACGCATAAATCTGAAGCGTAGGATTTAAAAACCATTTGAATTAAACGCCTCGGATTGGATTTGAAATGGAGGGCTCGGATTGACTGAGATTTGATCTGACGGCTGGGGTTCGTCTTGGACCTTTATAAAAGGCAAGAAAATCCCAATTTTCAAGATTTTTGAACACTTTGCACTCTGAAACTCTCTCAAATCTCCAAATTTTCCGGCGTCGAGGTTGACTGTAATATTAAATTTCGGCCAGTCTCCGTTTGTGTCGAATTCCCTTAGGTATTGTTGGCACAAAAACCCTTCTTATTGTCTTTTACTGAGAAAATGGAGTCCACTTCGGGTAGGGAACTTGTTACAGTGGCGTCTTTAAACTATGGGGTCGGTCACGGGGGGATGTCCGAGGTGGATAGGTATGCCATGGCCGAGGAGCCTGTAGATTATACCCAGGAGTGGGGGGCTTCTAGGGTGCCTTCGAATATGACGTGAAAGATGTTGGGGGAACTTAGGGAGAGGTACAGTGTACCCCACTACATAGAAATGTTAGTCCCCGAGCCGAACGAGCGGGCCTGCTATCCGAGGCCCAGCTGTGTGGCCGTCAGTGAATACCTGTTCAAGACAGGTATGCGTCTTCCTCTGCACCCCTTCTTTAGGGCGGTGCTTAGGAACTTCATGCTGTCGCCGACCCAGGTTCTGCCGAATGGGTGGAGCCAGCTGGTCGGCTCGTACTTCTTGTGGAAGGAAGTGTCACTCGGGGAGGACATGCCTTTTCATGTGTTCATGACCTTGTTCCAGCCCCGGGTAATTGGAAAGGAGTCAAGGGTGTGGTACTACCTCACGCCTTGAGGGGCTCACGCACCCTTTGTGGTGGGACTTCCTTCTTCTATCAAGGGGTGGAAGGAGTCCTGGTTCTGGGTGCGAGGTAAATGGCAGGCAGTAGAGGGGACAAAGCCCTGTCATGCACAGTGCCGACCCAGTACTACAAAGCTCGTGAGTCTCTCAAACTCTGCTTGTCTTTCGAAGTCAGAATATGAATTCGTCTAACTGTTGGGGGTTCCTTTGCAGATAGTAGTACGAGGTTCGAGCTCAGCAGGGAGGAATTCGAGGTGATAGAGGACATTTACAAGAGGCCTCTGAAGCTTCGCCACTTCGATCACCTGATTGATAGGAGCAGATACTTTCTGAACTTCGAACTGATGGCATCCAGAGGTACGAAGCCCCAACACCTAAATTTTCCTATCCCTTGTTTTTATACTGATGCTGATCTGACCTATTATGCAGATAAATTCAAGAAGAGAGAGTACCCAGCTTTAGACATGACCTCTATCTTGAAGGCCACGTTTACTGTGAAGGCAAGGCCCCTGAAGCCTGGGTCCAGCGGGGCAAAGGAAGTCCGAGGCAGGGTTGAGCGCCTGTCCAAGGACTGTACTCCCAGGGCTTCGAAGGAGGCAACTCCTTAGAGGCCAGAGAAGCCGAAGGACCCTCGGGGCAAGGAGAAAGTTCCTGAGGAGACTAAGAAGAGGAAGCTGGTGCACATCTCCAGCTCAGCTGGAAAGTTTGGGACCTCAGTGTCCCATAGGGCCGAACAGACTGGCGAGCCGAAGCTTCTTGCTGCAGCCTCCAAAGCCATAAAAATGGAGATGGTTAGAGAGGTAGAGGCTGAAGAGGCTAGAACAGAGGCCGCAAGGCAAGCTGTAGAAGCTGCCAAGGAGGAGGCAGTAAAGGAGAAGCCGATGCGGGAGAAGGGGAAGTCTCCGAGCTTCCTAGTTGGGAGGGAGGAAGCACTGGCCCCAGCCTTGGTGGAGGCTCTCCCTGAAGAAATCAGAAGTGCCACCGAGAGCTTTTACAAGTTCTGGACGGAGAGGTGGCAACTGCATGCCTCCTCTTGCAACGCCACCGACTTGACAAAGGCAATGGTGAGCCAGAGCGTCCGGACCTTTGGCCTCGCGCTCGAATGCAGGGAGGCCTTGAGCGAATTTCAGACAAGGACCCAGGCCTCGGAGGGTAAGATTGCCTCCCTCGCAAAGGAGGTGAAAGCTGCTACGGCCGAGGCCGAAGAAGCCAAGGCCCAGAGAGTTGAAGAGGCGGCGAAGCTTGAGTCTGCTCTGGCCTAGATTGAGGCCTTAAAGAAGGAAGTGTATGAGTCACAGTGCGAGGTGGCCTCCTTGACAAAGAAGCTGGAGGTCTCCAATGAGCACCAAAAGGTGATTGCTGAGGCCCTTGAGAAGGCGAATCTCTCCTTGGCCGGTGCTCAAGATACTTATCAGTTTCTCGAAGGCCAGGCGAAGTGGTACATGAATGATGCCTCTGTTGCAAGAGAAGAGGCCCGAACTGCAAGGGAGGAGGCAGTGAAGGAATACATCGCCAATTTCCACACTACAGAGGAGTACAAGAGCTTCAGTTCGTACTGGAGGAACTTCGCCTATGCCGAAGTGCTGGAGCGGGCAGAGGAGCTGTATCCCAATTTGGACCTGGCTCAACTTAGGTCCGAATTTGTAGATGAGGTACCTCAGACCCCAGCTGAGGAGGTCCAGGGTGATGAAGAAGTTGATGCCGATGCCCCAAGTGCTAAGGTAGAGGAAGCAACTACTGATGCCCAAGTTGTCGAAGCCCCAAGTGCTGAGGCGCCTCCGTCATCTAGCCAGGCATAGACTAGGTTTTACTTTTCAGTATTTTGGATGTAATGGTCAGAGGCCCTCCTTTGTAATCTTCTTTGAAATATCAATATAATGTCTTTCTTCTTTCATTGTTGTTCTTTGTCCAAGTTTTTATACCTCGTTAAACAAATGAACTGGAACTTGATAGAAGCATGAACTAAATAACTTTAGCTTGGTACCTTGGCTCCAATCAATCAACTTTGTGAGCGTCGGACTGAAATAAGCGAACATAACTTGAGTGACTAAACTGTGCGAACCTCGAATTTAAGCAAATTAACATGACTTTAGGAGATGAACTGTGTGAGCCTCGGACTCGGACTTAAGCAAATTAACATGACTTAAGGAGATGAATTGTGTGAGCCTCGGATTGTAGCGGTTGTGGCTTCTCTCCTCGACATTCAGCAAGGCCAAAGAGAGGCATGTGCAATCGCCTCGGAGTTCAAGCGAGGTGACCCAGAGGTAGGTCCCAAACCTCTCCTCCGAGGTGACGACGCATCCCAGACATGGTGGATGGTGCAGCCATGTTGGGGCTTCTCCCCTTGGCGTTCAACAAGGCCAAAGGGAGGCATGTGCTAGCGCCTCGAAGTTCAAGCGAGGTGGTCTAGAGGTGGGTCCCGAGCCTCTCCTCCGAGGTGACAATGCATCCCAGACATGGTGGATGGTGCAGCCATGTTGGAGTTTCTCCCCTTGGCGTTCAGCAAGGCCAAAAGGAGGCATGTGCTAGCGCCTCGAAGTTCAAGCGAGGTGGCCCAGAGGTGGGTCCCGAGCCTCTCCTCCGAGGTGATGACGCAGTACGACCCATGGATTTAATCAATGCATTTTATTGAGCCGTAGAAATATTACAAAGGCTAGGGAAAGCCATCCAGCATGGTACAATTCATTGATAATAGATTCTGAGGTGTTCAATGTTCCATGGACGGGGTTGCGCCTTGCCGTCCATGTCTTCAATCCAGTAGGTTCCAGGTCGGATTTCTTCTTTGATTTTGTATGGACCTTCCCAATTCGGGCCTAGGGAATCGGAACCAGGTTCTTTTAAAGATAGGAAGACCCTCCTGAGCACAAGATCATTGATTCGGAACGACTTCTTCTTGACTTTGGAGTTGAAGTACCTTGTCATTTTTCTTTGATAGGTGTCTAGTTTCAGCTGGGAGTCATCCCTTCTCTCCTCAATGAAATCGAGGTCGAGCCTCCGGAGTTCGTCGTTGGTCACTTCACTGAAGTGCAGACGTCGTGGAGATGGAAATCCGATCTCCACGGGGCTCATCGCCTCAGTCCCATATGCCATGAGAAAAGGGGTCTCCCTAGTTGGAGTCCTGGTAGTGGTTCAGATTGCCCAAAGTACTTGGGGCAGCTCATCAACCCAAGCTCCCTTGGATACATCAAGCTTCCTTTTCAGGACGTGCTTGATTGTCTTATTTACGACTTCAACTTGGCCATTAGCTTGTGGGTGGTGAGGTGTAGAGAAATGCTTCTTTATGCCGAGCTCTTCACACAGTTCTCTAATCTTCTTGTTATCGAATTGTCTGTCATTGTCTGAGACGATCGAGTAGGGAATTTCGAACCGACAAATAATATTCTTCCATAGGAACTTGGAGGTGTTTGCTTCTGTGATTTTTGCCAGTAGTTTAGCTTCGACCCACTTTGTGAAGTAATCAATGGCCACTATTGCAAAACTTGCACCTCCTCTACCCTTAGGTAGAGGGCCTATGAGGTCCACACCCCATTTTGAGAAAGGCCAGGGGATGGAGACTGCAGTCAAATCCTGTGATGGTCGTCTTTGTACGGGAGAGAATCATTGGCATTTATCACATTTTCGCACGAATTCGAGGGCATCCCGTTTCAGGGTAGGCCAGTAGTACCCTTGCCTCAGTATTTTTTGTGCCAGAGATAGGCCTCCAGAGTGGTTGCCGCACACTCCCTCGTAGACTTCTCTTAATATGTAGGTAGCCTCTTCTCCTCCGACGCATCGTAAGAGTGGAGAGGAGAAGCTTCTCTTGTAGAGAATGTCATCAATGAAGAGGAAGTGGGCTGACCTCCTTCTCAGCTTATAAGCCTCATTCTTGTTGGTGGGCAGCACCTGGTCTTTCAGATATGCTATGATTGGTTGCATTCAGGTGGGAGTTCCACCAACCCACATGACAATAGGGGCCTCGGTAGAAGGCAGGAGGAGGTGCTCGATAGGCACTACAGTGAGTAGCTCTGAGTCTTTGCTACTAGCCAGCTTCGAGAGTGCATCTGCATGAGCATTTTCGATGCGGGGAATCTGTGTTAACTCGAACTTTTCAAAGGATGGGATGAGGTTCATCACCATTTTCAGATAGGAGGCCATCGTTTTGTCTTTGGCTGAGAAGTTACCATTGACTTGGCTAACAACCAGCTGGGAGTCACTACTGACGAGTAGCTTCTTTACTTGCATTTCCTTGATCAGTCTGAGGCCTGCAAGGAGTGCTTCATACTCTGCAACATTGTTGGTGGCTTTGAATCCGAATCTCACGGTCGAGGTGAGTTTGTGACCCTCAGGACTGATGAGGACAACCCCGACATCTGAGCCGACTTCCCCAGCTGAGCCATCGACGAAGAGGCTCCACGTGGGGGGTTCGACGGATTCCATGATTTCATCCACCTCGGGTAGGTTGGCGAATTCAGCAACAAAGTTAGCTAAGGCTTGTCCTTTGATGACTGCCCTAGCTTTGAACATAAGGTCAAATTCACTTAGTTCCATTGCCCATTTCAACAATCTTCCCGAGGCATCGGGCTTTTGGAGTACTAGGCTCAGGGGAAAATTTGTAAGTACATGGATGGTATGAGCTTGGAAGTAAGGTCTCAATTTCCTAGAGGCTGTGATTAAGGCCAAAGCAAGCTTCTCCATATCGGGGTATCGGGTCTCAGGCGATAGGAGCGCTTTACTCGTATAGTAGACGGAAAGTTTGGTGGACCCTTCTTCTCGAATCAGAACCGAACTGATGGCGTCATTGGAGACGGCAAGATATAGTTGCAAGATGTCACCATGCTTCGGCTTGGAGAGGAGGGGGGCCTACCCCAAATGCCTTTTCAGTCCTTAGAAGGCCTCTTCACATTTCTCAGTCCATTGGAATTTCTTCCTAGCCTTGAGCACTTTGAAAAATGGGAGGCACTTGTCAGTTGCTTTGGAGACGAAGCGACTAAGTGCTGCCACTCGTCTAGTTAAGCTTTGCACCTCCTTTGGCTTTTGAGGGGACTTCATCTGGCACAGAGCCTCAATCTTCTCGGGATTTGCTTCAATTCCTCGCTGGTTGACCATGTACCCCAAGAACTTGCCGGAAGCCACCCCAAAGGCACATTTCAAGGGGTTGAGCCTCATCCTGTACCTTCTCAGGATTTGGAAGGTGTTGTTGAGATGCGCTATGTGGTTCTCTGCTTCTAAACTCTTCACCAGCATGTCATCCACGTAGACCTCCATTGTCTTGCCAATGAGGTCGGTAAACATTTTGTTCACGAGTCTTTGGTAAGTTGCTCCGGCATTCTTCAACCCGAAAGGCATCATTCTATAGCAATAGAGGCCTCGATCCATGATGAAAGAGGTGTGCTCCTCATCAGCCGGGTGCATGGGGATCTGGTT